AACCGATAGGGAGGGCCAGTTTTCACCGGGATCTATGGCTTCCTTTGTCCGCTCGAATTGGCCAACCCTCGCGACAAAGATGCCTCTAAATTGAAAAATCCATCCGTGAAACGGGTGGACAGTTCTGGTTGGGTTGCGGTGTCCCTCGGCTGCGATCGGCGTTGAAGAGATCACACCACCGCATAGAATTCTGAAAACCACTTGTCCGACGACCATACAAATCCATTCCTGGATCTTGGCCAGCCTCGTTGAATAAGATTGATTTGCGCCAGATCGTTTCGATTGAACGATTCGATTGAAATTTTGAAAAATGCTGGATTTTGATTGTTAAAAATTTTCAATTGAGAATTCAATTGTGGATTTTGGTTGAAATTTAAAAATTTTAATACCCATCCGATCGAGATAAATTATTATTATTAGGTAGGTAGAAAGATGTAAAAAACGAAATTTTGCTTCTGCTTCGACTTTTTCCACCCTTCATTACTACCAGCGTATCACTGAAGGATGATATTGGGGACCATAGTGGAACGCTGGTTGGAGAAAAATATATAGCTAAAATAGGACGATGGACGGCGCGTTTTATGGTTAAACGGAGAGCAAAAATACCAAGGGGAATTTATGTCTTATTCCGAGCTCGGTCTACCGTGTTATTGATCCTTGATTAACTCGCTCCCTGGAATCCTTTTAATTTGCTCCGACTCCCAAATGCGCGAATATCTCCCGTCCCTCGAATTGAAAAATGGCACGTACGATTGCTTTCGTTCGTAAAAACTTTCATGGTATGAAACACGTGGATCGAATTGCTATCGATTCACTTCAGCAAATCTGAAAGAATTTATAAGTTATTTTATTCTATATATTTTTTATTATAACAAACTATCAAATTAAAACTAACAAAACTCCTCTCTTCATCTACGATATATAAAATACTCCTTCAAATCAACCAACGAATCTCCTCTCGAGATATCTAATTATCTCTATCTCGATCTATACTCAAATCCAAATTAAACTTCCTTTCCAAACATCTGGAAAGAACTCACGACTGCTTTTTCTCAAAGTCCTCCTCTCTTCATCAACGACAATAAAAATACTTTTCTTGTATTAACGAATCACCGCAAGATCCCCACCCTTATATCCACCCCTGAGCTATCTAATTATCTCTATCTCAATCTATACTCAAATTAATAACAAATTAAACTTTCTTTCCAAACATCTGTAAAGAATTGGCGACCGTTTTAATTTCTCAAACCCCTCCAAAACTTCTCTCGTCATCAACGACAAAGATACTCTTCTATATTAATCGACGAACCACGATCCCCTCACTTGTATCCACCCCTGAGCCATCTAATTATTTTTATCCGATCAAGGGACACACACTTGATCGAGCACGTGTAGGCAACGGTGCCCGTTGAAAATTCGATTTTCCCTCGCCGCAATCTCCTCACCTGGGTTCACCTGAGTCGCATTTTTCACGGGGATTAGTCGCGACGATCGACGAGCCCCCCCCTCCCTCTTTTGTCAACGCGCACAGCCTCCTTTGCATCCGGCCTCCAATTCGGGAGGATTTGTTTCGCCACTTGGGGTGTTGTAAGCCGACACGAGACACCAACGCTCTCTCCCGCTCTCCTAATAACGAGGAATTATCGCCCGCGATACAATGAGCCCGCGGGAAATCCTCTTTGATGTCTACCACGGAAAATAATACCGCCCTAATAGAGCGAGATTACGTAGCAACGACGACTGGAGGCGTCACGACGATCCTTTGCGGCAACGGGTCTGGGTCTGGTTAACAGGTTACCCCAACCCTGATTTGCGCGTTCAATTTCGACCGGCAACGTTCGCCAATTGGTTTTCGGGGAGGGAAGGGGGGTGAAAGAATTTTCGTGAAAAGGAAGAAATCTTTTTTAGTCTTGGAGGAGAATTTTAAAATTGTATTGTATGTGGTAAGTAGAATTTCGTACAGTTGCTTACGAATTGTGTGGAATTTTTAAAATTCGTTTCTATTGATTGTTAAAGAAATTATGAAGTAATCGATCTATAATTTGTTTTCGATCAAATTAGAATTATACATTATTGTCGTTGTAAGCAATATTTTGAGAAATAAATATTATGGAAGAAGATAATCTAAAACTTGATCAAAATTAGAAATAATTTAAACTGTTATAATTCCGAATATAATTCTTTCAATTAAAGAATGGTCGATCATTAGAGATATGTATCTGCTTTTTAAAACGCTTTTTTATTTATTCCGATACGACTTCTTTCTTTTCGAGATATCATCGTGTAAAAAGATAATTTTTAATGATTTAATATCTTCTTTCTCTCTTTCACTCGCTTTCAAAGTGCAGACAAGTAACAGACGCAGTTTCTAGAAAAATGCATAAATCTAAATCTGGCGCATTCATAATCTTAATACTTTCAATCATTACATCTCGACGATTAAAATATCGAGCTGAAAGGAAAAGAAGCTTCAAAGAGCATAATTTCCTCTATGTTTTAAATTAATTTCATATAACACAATGTTTTAACTTCAATAAATCGTAAATCTTATTTTTAATTTTCATACATATATATAATTACGTTAAACTCTACCACAATGTAATAAACAAAACGGGAGATCCTTCTCGAAAGCGAAAGCTAATTCTATCACGCCTCGGATAAACCACGACTCGAAGAAAGCCCGTCCAACCCCCGATCATCCCCAATCTCCCAAATTAAATCTCCCGCAAAGCCCCTCCCCCATAATGGCGATACAAAAATCACCGCGTTTCAATTACGGCTCGAAAACCCGTGTCGAAGGGC